TCAGCTGCCACTCGTTACGAACTTCAAACTGCTGGTACACCATTGCTCGGTGCCCTTTATGTGCTGAAAAAAACGTGCGTGCGTTTTAATTGATCTGACGTCATGTAAAGGCGCCGAAACTCTGGTTCCCAGGATTTGTTTGCGATCCAAGCCCTGAGGAATCGTCAACGTTTCCTCGACGAATCGCACCCGTTCGAGGTGCAACTCACGATACCCTTTATCGCCGATTTTCAACGGTCATAAAAAACATGTCGAAACTCTGACAAATCGATCCACCAAGTTCCTCCTGTCCGCGTATAATGGACCGTGAAATTATTGATCGTGAGAGAAAAGTCACCCGTTTCCCCAAGGCTTTTCATAACGGAATTCTCTCAATTCCATGAAATCTTAATAGATGTGGGCCTCGCCCGTATACGCGCACTCGACCAGACACTTTCGAGCGTGAGGGTCGAATTGAACTTTAAAATAAGCGAAGGGTTTCCACCGATTTCAAGATTCCCCCGGGGATAACTTCACCCTTATAGAAAATATCGAAAGATTCTCCCCGCGGTTTCTAGCGCGTCAGAGTGTGACACATCTCATTCACGTCGGTTTCACTTCATAGGATAGATTCGACACTACTAAAATCCAAGATAACGCGCATTTTTCTATTAACCCGGGGGCAGAATTATCGGTTCCCCTCGCGATTCATTCAATCCGGTATCACGAGGCGCCATCAATCATCGTTCGTCTCTGAAATCTATTTCTGCTCTCTCTCTCTCTCTCGCTCTTTTTGCCCTCTGGCGCGATTAATCTGAATTTTAATCGATCCAGTCCTAATTTAAAGGGTCATGCCTAGTTAGCTAGCCAAGAAGAAACAATTGTTGGGAATTTTTTTTGAAAAAACTAGTGGACTGGTTTTACAACTAATATTTTATTCAAAAATGCATATACTGTACAACTTAGGTACTTTTTTGGTATCAAAATATTAAAAAATGGACGAGTAACAGCCACTCTCCTGGAAGCTGTTTTAGTATTTTTTTAAAGACGCTTTTCAGTGAGAACAATTTTTCGGAGCTGGATCATTTGAAATTAAAAATTCAAAAAGATTCTGCCAATATATGATTTTATTTAGTAGGGGAACGAAGGGTTATTACAAAAAATTGATCGTGGAAAAAAATGGCAGCCGTTTAACGCAAAAATAGAATTTCTCGATGCTTAAACTTTTCGTAATTCGTGAATTAAAAGAAGAGTTTTCATTAGAAACGAAGAACCTGTCGTTCACCATCTTTAAAAAGAACAACTTCCGAGAGAGTGTCTGTTATTCGTTCATTTTTTAATATTTCGAAACAACAAAAACTACAATAAGTTGGACAATATGTATATACATTTTTGAATAAAATATTCGTTGTAAAAGAAGTCCATTAATTTTTCAAACAAAAAATTACCAAAGATCGCTTTTTCTGGCTTACTGACATGACCCCTTGAGCGACTGAAAACTGTTTAATGGCTCTGTCCCCGTTTACGCGATATACATTCGCGATTTCGTTTTCGTCGAGATAACGTATCGTTTGGTAACTAAAATTAATGGTGGTTATCACGTAACGATCCCGATTATCCAATTCTACCCGGGGTGAGCGGCGTTCGTTTCACGCGAGCGTATAATTGCTCGTCATTTTCCTACGATTATTCTGAAATTCTATTTTCATTTTCTTTTCTTTCATTCGATTCCCTATTCTTAGGCACAGATCGCAATGATGCGAAATAGAATTTAAAGTGTGTCAGATCTGACGGTGTTTCCCCGGTCCGCCGTTGAATTTCGCACGATTATCGATGCAGTTCGAGGTGAACCCGTACGAAGTCACGAGGCCAGCCTGTTGTAGGTGAGAGGATGTGGCCGGCAGGAAGTTCATTGTGTACGGTTACACATATAATATTGCACGTCGAACGATCCTGCGGATTCTACGTAGTTTCTCGTGGCCAACGAGTCGGAATTCTCGGTGGTTCGTCCGCCAGATTCGCATCCCTCCAGGTGTGTGAATTACATCCTCACACAACGGGCCCTGCAATCTCGGTCCCCTGATCGTTTGCTTGTTATTTATCCCTTAGGAAGACCATTTAGAATCTTTCAATTCGAAGATTCTAATTCTTCGAATCGCTGGACAAAAGCATCTTTACTGTGAAAACAATCATCACCAACAAAAGATTCATATTCCCCTCGAAATAAACAAAAGATAGATTGTTCTGAGATTTATAATATTCACTAAATATTAAAAGGATCAATTTTCAGTCGAGTCACTTCCTACTTACAGAAGGATATCGGTAGAGCGTACAGAGCATGTTATAAAGAGTTTAATTTTCAAAATTTCGAATTACAACGCGCAGCCAGGTCGCGTTCGCGAACGGACGAAATCGTATGTAGGTTAACGCGTGGGCGGTGATCCATTACACGGGCCGTTTAAGTAATTATTTTTCAATTAAAGTGGAAAAACTCAACACGGCCAGTCGCGAAATTGCGGAATTTCAGCCTCCGTTAACTGCGGAAACGTTAGGCGGTGTAAAGAGCTAATTGGTACGCTTGCAACAATCGTGTCTCGTCGTCCCCTTTTTCGTTTTCATTCTGACAAAATTAAAAACAATAACGAATTATCGAGCGAGCACGTTGGATCGTTTCTGTGCCAAAGTACGACGAATTATCGCCAGGGTCGAAATCCTGAGTGCCAGCCACCGGATCGGAGTTTGGAAAGCTTACGATCGCGATTATGCAAGCATAAGTAAGGTCATCCTAGGCATCACCTCGAGATACGATAACGAGACATTACTTCTACTGCTGCCACTCGTGTATAGTAAATAACACGGGCGCCGCTTGTGCGCCGTAAACACGAATTTTCATTCGGCGACGCATTATAATAAATTGTTCCCGCCCCCCGTGCTTTTTCATCTCGCATGTTTCCCCACTTCGTGTGCACCTTATCTTGGAGCTGTTTACAATAACCGTCTTCGACAGATTTTTTTTGTCAGCTTCGGAATTTCGAAATTATGGAGCGAAAAAACGGGAACTCGAAATGTAGAAAGGTTATTCAAGGGAAGATAAGAGGGCAAAACGTTGATTCCCGAACCGATTCCTTTATCTGACCCTGGGATAATTGAAATGCATCTAGGAGAACCCTCTCTGTCTAATAATCAACCGATAAAGCCTGTTCCCCTGGTCGAAATTGAAATGATTCATTTCGTTCGTATTTTTTTTTTTCTCTTCTTCTTTTATAATCATCATGGAAGTCCAAGAATACCATCGACGTAACAATACCATCGCGGCGTGCGAACAAACCGGCGACACAAGGAACCTCGTAATCAGTGTGTTCGGCAATTGGCGTGAACGAAATTGCCACCAATTATCAATTTAACTGTCCACGAAAGGATCCTGTTTAATCATTTCGGCAAGACCGCCCTTTTGTTCCGTTCATCTCTCCTGATGCATCCTTTCATTCCTCCTCATTCACCGTTCGTGAGAGCCGAGGAACGAGCAAAAAGAAAACAAAAAAAGCGGGCGAAAGCATTGCGCGAACATTTAAACGATCCTTTGAAACGATTCCGAGCGACATCTATCAAGAGCCGACTAATTCCGATGAACTTAAATACACGTTTAACAAGGCGCAACAAAGGATTGCAGTTTTGTGTCGAGCGAAAACGATTAAAAGCAGCAAGGAAAACACGTAGAAAAAAGAAAAGAAATGATTAGAGAGCCTCCTGTATCCGTTACAGCTCCTCGTTCCATCCTCGAGCACCATGCTTATGGACTGCGATGATGCGCCGTCGTGT